CTGAAATTAATACTTACAAAGCAATATTTATGTATATGGAGAAGGATAAAGATTACAAAGAAAACATGATGTCCTCTATTCACCTAAGATATAGTATATAATGTTTGTAAGAGCTTTCATCTTTTTGTCTTTTCAATTTTAATATTATTATGACCTGTTTAAAGGGAATCCATATTTAGCATTGTAGGTACTCAATGTAACCTAAACTCTAATACTGTACTGTAGAATATACTTATGATTGTACATATTCTAAACTCATTGGTCATTTACTGGACATCCTCTGGTATTTTGAGGGCAGTGTGTTGTCATTTTGTTGGGACCAATTTTCCATTTAAAGGACTTTGTCCATTCTTTGAGGTGTCCATTTGAGGAGGAGTCTGTTGTTGTCTGAACTTTTGTTTGTTGCATCTGAGATTCTTTAAAACGAAGTTCATTAAAGGGAGGGCACATTCTTTGTTACAGAATTCCATGTATTATCTATATAAATATTGTGTATCATAGAAATAATAATATCTGTGCCCATCACTCATTGTGATTGCATGTTCTTAACACACACCCTGACCAGGACTGTTCCCTGTAGGATACTTTTACACACCTGTCTCATCAGTCACAGTTAGCAATGTCACACTGCTGAGCCCTGATGAACTCTTAAGACACACCATAACCATCAAAGGATATTTTTCTTCTCTGTTATTTTACACTTTCCCCCTTTTTCCCTATTCCAGGGGATGAGGCCTGGAGGAGCACTGGCTTGTATGTCTCTCCATGGAAACAGGCAACTGTCTGTGTGCCCTCCGCTGTGGTCGGGAAAGGCTGGCAGGCGAGTCTCATCCTTACATGCAAATGTAGATATATTTTACCAATATATAGTGTCAGAAATCTCTCTGTCCATATAGATGGACCATGTAAATACAAATTTGGAGATGTTATAACTGTGATTAGCTTTGTACCTTAATAAAGAAAAACGAATATCCTTCAGCGAGCCACACTGGTATGGGTTTTTGATATTGTTAGGCTAGGTCTGTTCTTATTTTTCTTGGCACTGTACAGAACATGGACAGGGATGGACGGCCCCCAGTGGCTGACAAGGTCATCCAGGCAGTGTTGTGCTGGACTGAGCTCATTGTGTTTTCCACATTTTAAGCAGGCGGTCATTATAGAACAATAATGGTGATATTAGGACCCTGCCATTCCAGACCAGGCTTGTATAGCTTTGTGCAGCAGACATGAGCGTTCTGCAGGCGTGACCCCCTCAGTCTGTCTCCCCCCAGGTGCAGGTGGGCTGTCACACAGATGATCTGAGTCGTCTCAATGAGCTAAAACGGGCGCCTGTGGTAACCTGTCGCTTCAGCATCACGGCAGAGAGGGTGCCGGTGTCCAGCCTGTGGGGAGGCCTGCTCTACGTGATCGTGCCCAGAGGCAGCCAGCTGGGCCAGGTGGAAATCACTGTGGAGGATGCTGTCATGGCCCCCTTCTTCCGGCTCGGTGAGCCTCTGCGTTGTCATACCTTCCCCATCTATGATAGACAGTGAGAGACTGCCCTGCCGCACCTGGCTCTCTGTCTGATTTCACGCCTGCTATCTGCCTGCCCATCCGCACTGTGTCTCTCTAGCAGGTTGAGGTCACGTAGGTTCAAAACGCATCTTTCTAGTCCCGAATGGAGAAGACTATAAGGGGACCAGATCCAGGCATTCCAACCCTTCGATGTCACGCCCTCTACAGCTAGAGGGCGCTCCTACTCTGTCCTGTTCCTAGTTTCCCTGTGCTTTACTGGGGCTATGTATTTCCGGGTCACCCCTTCCTCCTCGCTCAGCATTGAGGGTTCGAATGTCTTGAGACCTGCCTAGCACCAGGTCGTCTCCTCCGCGGCCTGAGGGCATAGGTTTCTACCCAGCTTCTATCTGACCTCCTGAGCCCGGGCTAGCCCCCGTTTTGCCTCTACACATAGGGTCTTTATTGCTCTCCTGGCCATTCCATGGCATGCCTTCCCGACATCCTTGACATTAGAGGCCCTGACAGGGTCAACCCAGTGGGATTCTTCAGAACCAGCAGGGAAAAACAGACCAGGGAAGAAAGCTGTGACAACAGGAAACACATCTTTTCACAAAGAATTGTGGGAGTATGGAACTGGCTAAACAGCCATGACTGTGGCTTCTATCAGGAAATGTCTGGAGAAGATCTTCAGAACAATAAGCTACTGACTACCAAACACATTAGATGGGCCAAATAGTTTCTTCTTGGTTGTTATTGTTCTCATGTTTCCCAACGTACACTCATAATGGAGTAAAAAATTCTAATAATAAATAAATAATAATAATTTATTGTGGATCATAAAATGGAAATTTCAAGTCTGCCAAAAGAACTAAATAGGCCAGATGGCCTCTTCTTCTGTTTAACCTCTCTCATGTTTGTGACATCTAATCACAAGTCCCAGCCTTCATGGGGGTGTTGCGGGTGTGTCGCCCCTACAGGCGAGAGCAGTGTGTCGCAGTGGCGGTCCTCGGCGCGCCACTGTCCCGCTCCCTGGGCGGAGCTGGAGGCCGACAGCGTGATCCTCACGGTCCCCTCGGACAGCGTGTGCAGCCTGGACGACCCCACCCCCTTGCTCTCGCTCTGGAACAGGATCACCAAGGGCGTCGCCAAGCTGGCGGCCACAGCGCCGCGCTTTCCCCGACAGGAGCGCATCGTCGCGGACGTGCAGATCTCCGCGGGCAAGTGCCGGCCCTTTCCCCGCCTGATTGCTTTTCCTGCTTTGTCCACATTTTCATAACTTTCACCGTGTGAAAGTAATTCCTCTCTCAACACTATAAAAGATAGAGTATTGTGTTATCTATAGATTCATGACAGCATATTTTTATCTGGGCCAGTCTGGGGGAACAAGGACTTTGCCTGTCCTCTGGAATCACGGTCTAAAGCCGGGACCCTGGTCGGATGATGCTGTATTGACTCTGTCTCCTCCTTCAGGCTGGATGCACTCTGGCTACCCCATCATGATTCACCTGAAGTCTGTGAAGGAGATTGCTGACCTGCAGCACATGAAGGAGGCAGGCATGTGGGGCCCCATCCATGAGATGGGTCACAACCAGCAGAGAGAACTGTGGGACATCCGGCCCCACACTACCGAGGCCACCTGCAATCTGTGGTCAGTCTACATCCACGAGGAGGTCCTGGGCATTCCCAGACACAAGGCCCATGAGGAGCTGAGACCTCACACCCGGAAGAACAGAATCAAAGACTACGTCAGGAAGGGGGCCACGCTGGAACACTGGCATGTGTGGACTGCTTTGGAAACCTACTTGCAGGTACAGTATCGGATATTCGACTGGATGCTGTATGTTAAAGGCGCCTGTTAAATAAATCCTTAAGGCCGTTAAAAGACACTGCCGTCTGCACAGTGCTGGTGCGGAAATCAAACAAAGTCTATTAAGGTAGTTCTAAATGATAATGAGTTTCTAACTGAATTTTCTTTAGTACTTTAACCAGTAATTATCTTACCATTGCGTAACTCAAAGCATTTTTATTTGGTTCAGAAGGACTTGTGCTTCTGTGTTTTTCACAAAACAGAAAAGCAAACTAGCACCTGCATATCTGGTATTAGTTCATCATCCAGCCCAGGGATGAATAGTCCATGGATTCATTGAGCAGGAAGCATTTAGGTTACGGCTACAACACTTTGTTTTTGGGTGTGGCTGTGCACTTTACAATCACTGTAAACGATGCTTGTCTTTAAGAGCTTTGAGAAGCCACCTTTAAAGGCGCTATATAAAATAAAGGAACAAGTAATAGGTTTATTCCATGCTGAAAAAAAGAAGAAAGAGAACACAACGTTTCTTCAGGTGTGGTCTGCCTGTGTCCAGTGTTTCTGTCCAGACTGTGGTCACTGAGCCTGTCCTCTCTGGACAGCCAGGTCTGTCTGTGTCCAGTTTCTATGTCCAGGCTGTGGTCACTGAGCCTGTCCTCTCTGGACAGCCAGGTCTGCCTGTGTCCAGTGTCTGTGTCCAGGCTGTGGTCACTGAGCCTGTCCTCTCTTGAAGAAGGACACCTGAAGAAGGCTCCACGGCCGAAACGTTGTGTTCTCTTTCTTCTTTTTTTCAGCATGGAATAAACCTATGACTTCTTCCTTTGCAGCCTACGCATGCTGACGCAGCTCCCCACCTGAACTACATAAAATAAAGTTTATTATTATTATTTCGGGAATTCAGTTACCGTACCTACTATTGCTTTTTGTTATACTAGCACTCCTGGTCATAATGCTGAATAAATGTGATTACAATTTTAAATTTTTAGATAGAAAACGTTGAAGTTGGAGTTGGAATTGTTTCCTTCCAGAAACATTAACTGTTGGGAGATAGAGTAGGGAGCTGTGTGAGCAGGTGTAGGCTGCAAAGGAACAGGTAAGGGTTTATTCAAGGCTGAAGAGAAAAGAATAGAGACACAACGTTTCAGCTGTGGAGCCTTCTTCAGGTCTGAAGAAGGATACGATACATGCAATGATACATCCAACACACCTAAAGACGTCTCCAGTGCCTAAATGTTTTGTGTATCTTCTTTTCCTTTCAGCACGGAATAAACCTTTAACTGTTTGTAGTGCATATAGTGCATAAAGTGTCGCTGTGTAGAAACCACCATCTTGGCTCAGATCCCTGGTCACTGGTGAGGCCTTGAGCCAAGATGGCACAGAGCCCCCTCTCGCAGCATCACACTCGATTGCAACTGAAAAGCGAGACAAGGTCTTTTTAGGATGGTACAGGTACCCACATAATAGACCCTTGCAACACTTGGGGTGCCCCATCCCTCACAGTCGGAATGAGCGCCCTGCTCCTGTGTCTCTCTTCCCAGCTTCAGGAGGGCTTCGGCTGGAAGCCCTACATGCAGCTGTTCTCCGACTACCAGGAAATGTCCGGCACCGGACTGGACAACAAGGGGAAGATGAACCTGTGGGCGGAGAGGTTTTCCCTGCAGGTGAAGAGGAACCTGGCGCCCTTCTTCCGGGCCTGGGGCTGGCCCATCGAGGAGCCGCTGGCTGCCAAGCTGGCTGCTCTGCCCGCGTGGGAGGAGAACCCCATGAGCAGCTACGCTTGAACTCCAGAAAGGGCTCAGAGGCCCTGCTGTGGTCTAACACAGCTGCGCGCGGGGACTGCCCTGCTACTCAGGTGACACGAGCTCAGGATGATTAAACCCGCAGAATCAGGCAGGCTCCTCTTTCTTATAATCCATCACATTCTGTATCACTTTGTGAACTATTCCACTCATGAAACAGAAGGCGCATCGTCATTAGAAATCAAGATGTATTTGTTCAGGATGAATAAAACCTGAAAACCTGGGCTTTGTGTGAATTCCCTTTCCCTGTCATTGGACGTCTCTCGACAAGTCAAGTGACTCCCCTCCAAGGCTCTGTGTGAAGATGAACAAGACTCTGCCGGAGGGTTTCCGGTAGACATTGACTTTGCTCTCCGGTGCAGTCGCTCTCGGACTGCTGTCCACACCTGACCAGGCTGTGTATTGTAATGTCGCCGCTAATATGCATTTATACCTGCTTTCCTTGCACAGAGGCAAGGAAGCACATGGGGAGGGAGAGAATTCATGTGGAGCTGGTTTCAGGAGAGCTGGCATTTAAACGCGATTGGGATCTGGTGCCTGTAGTGCAATGACATGGCGGTGGGATGGGTTAGGAGGAGATCAAGTTAACACACATAGAGATTCCCCTTTCCGTTCCCTGACCCTTCTTATGCTCACTCATTTCCTAGGTGTTATCAGCAAATGGCTCTTTCTCCCTCTGAATTAAAGGTGTTGTTGCCTGAATCCCTGTCTTTAGCAATGGGTAATTCCATATTGGATGGGTATATCATTGGAAAAAAACAAACAAGCTGGCAATTCCCAAATTGATTAAATTAGTACTATTAGCACAGCAGTGTGGTTGGTGGGCTTTCTATGATACCTCCACTCCCCTAGGTGGCAGGCTTTGAATTTGTGTAACTCTAGCATGTGCTCTGTTGTCTTGCATTTCAAGAGCAACACTTCCTCCTGCCCACAGAGTTACCCGCTTGGCTTATGTGCCACAACCTCATCTATGGGGACCTGATATTGTATTGCAAATAAGGTTAAAGATAGAGTTTAAAATTGTTCATAAGTTTTATCCAGTTAAAACAGCACTTTCTAAATTTAAGCATGAGCAGGACGATTTGTGTCTTTTTTGTGTGACGTTGTTTTGGACGGGCTTGCAGAGTTTTTTTTGTAGGCATTTAAAGGTGTTTTTTTAGATTTAAGGATTTTGATATTTTGTGGTATTCAGAAAATTTGGGGGAAAAAGCAATTATTTGTAGCAAATTAGTCATTCTGGGTAAAGTTGTTGGTGATGGAGGGGAGTCCCCATTACCTGTAAAGCACTTTGAGTGGAGTGTCCAGAAAAGCGCTGTATAAGTGTAAGCAATTATTATTATTACTAAAGTTAAGATTCAGAAATTAAAATGGTCCAATAATACTTCATTTTTTAGTATTTTTAAGATGGAGTTAAAACATTTATTTTAATTATATAAAAAATTGAAAAGTGCAAAGCAAGTTGATATATGTAAAGAATAATCTGGTTATATGGTGGAGGGGATCCCAATTACCTGGAAAGCGCTTTGAGTGGAGTGTCCAGAAAAGCGCTATATAAGTGTAAGCAATTA